CCCTTGAGTGCTCCTTCTTCCTCCCATTTCCCACTTCTAGAATATTCCATTCGCTGATGCATGAACCTCAAAGAAGTGGCAGCTGCACTGAGAGGCAACATTGCTGCAACAGCTCACATTTCACTCAGAACAGGCTTAGATGTCATCTTTTCTGGTTGCCTCTCACCCGGATGTAGTGGGATGGCCACTCATATCATCAGCTATATCCACTAAGGTATTCCACTGCATTCCTTTCCTCCGTGTAAACCCATCTTCTCCTGAATGTGAAATATTTCCATGCATTTAAAACTAAAGTTGTGTCACTTGTCCTAACATCTGATTTACTCTATTTCAATCTTTGTGACATTTTCTTCTGTAGATACATTTTGTTGCTCATACTTTCCACCCAAAGATTTTATTGATAAATACCACAAACGCTTTTCTTCTTTAAAAAGTTAATAGTGTCTATGATAAGGAGATTTCTTTGGTTGGTTATTATAACACACCACATTGTAATGTTTAAAATAGTTACTTCCTTGTGTCTAAGAAAATATTGGCATTATCAGCATCAATAAAATTATTGGAACAAAACCATGTAAACTTTCTATTTTTCTTTTTATTTAATTATCTGATCACCATGCTAGGTTCATAGAGGTGAAAGAAAAAGGGCTCACAATACATAAAAACTCCTGGCATATAATGACAATGACAACGACACTAGCTCGCATTTATAGAACTCTTATTATGCTCCCAAAACACTGCTAAATCTTTTATACACTTTAATCCTCTCATTTAAAGGATTTAAGCGAGCTACAACTGGAAGACAAAGGTACTATCTCCGTTTTTCAGAGAAGGAATCTGAGCACAGAGAGGTTAGGTACTTGATCACTATGACACAGAAGGAAACTGATCAGAGCTGAATGATTCCCTTTAACATGATAACAAGTTAAGTCAGTCTGGTCAGAACAGCAAAGCAGAAAATCACACTACAGCAGGGGAAAATCAAAGGTATGAAAAGGGAAGCTATCAAAAATAAAGCGTGTGGATCAATGACCTGAATATAAGAGTTAAGACCATAAAACTCTTAGTAGAAAGCATAGGCATAAATCTTCATGACTTTGGGCATGGCGGTGGATTCTTAGATACAACACCAAAAGCTTGAGCAACTAAAGAAAAAACAGATAAATTGGACTTCATCAAAACCAGAAACTTTTGTGCATCAAAGGACATTATCAAGGAAGTGAGAAAACAACTTACAGAAAGGGAGAAAATATTTGCGAATCATATATCTGATAAGGGTTTAACATCCAGACTATATAGGGAACTCCTACAACTCAACAACAAAAAGACAACCCAATTCAAAATATGGGCAAAGACATTTCTCCAAAGAAGATTTACAACTGGACAAAAAGCACATGAAAAGATGCTCAATATCATTCATTAGTCATTAAAAATAAAAATCAAAACCATAATGAGATACCACTTCACACCTCTAATATGGTTATAATAAAAAAATTTAAACACGTAAAATAATAAATGTTGGCAAGGATGTGGAAAAATTGAAATCCTCATACATTGCTGATGAGAACGTAAAATGATACAGCCTCCGTAAAAACCAGTTTGGTGGTTCCTCAAGAAGTTAAACCTAGAATTACCACATGACCCAGCAATCCCACTCCTAAGTATATACCCAAAATAATTGAAAACAAGGACTCAAACTGATATTTGTATACTGATGATCATTGCACAATTATTCACAAGAGTCAAAAAGTGGAAACAATCCAAGTGTCCATTGATGGATACATGAATAAAAAAAATGTAGTATATCTGTGCAATGGACTATTATTCAGCCATAAAAAGGAATGAAGTTCTGATATATGCTACAATATGGATGAACCTTGAAAACATTACACTAAGTGAAATAATCCATACACAAAAGGACAACTATTATATGAATACACTTTATGAATTACCTAGAATAGTCAAATTCATAGAAACAGGATGTAGAATAGAGATTGCCAGGGGCTAAGGAGAGGGGGAAGGAAAGTGTTATTGTTTAATATGTACAGACTTTCCGTTTGAGATGATGAAAAAATTATGGAAATAGATATAGGTGATGGTTATACAACATGGTGAATGTCCTTAATGCAACTGAATTATACACTAAAGAATGGTTGAAACGGTAAATTTTATATTATGCCTATTTTAGCACAATAAAAAAAAACGCATGGTTTTCCTTTTTTAGAAATAAGCCACTCACAACATATATCTACAGAACAGATCACTCTCATAAGCTCTAGACCTGATTTTCCAGCTGAAAATACCCAAACTCAAGATCCAAAATTGATGTCACTGCTTAACCACAACCAAGTCCCTATTCTCCTCCAGAAATTTTCTTCTTATTCCTTCTCCCATAAGCCTTGTCTTTGTAATAACAGCACTACTATCCGCTAAGTCCATTACGCTTAGATCTTTATTCTCTCTTTCTCATTCCTGCCAACCAGCTCCTGAGTTCTTGCTTGTTTTGTTTTTATCAATCCTGCCTTCTATGTAGACCCTGAGTTTCCTTCCTCTTCTCCATCTCTACAGCCACTCTTTGTCTAGGGCCTCATCCTCTCTCTCTCACCTGGATCATGTAATAACTTTTTCTTGGTCTGTCTGCCTCTCTAACCCCTCTGCAGAGAGTCATCTCTCCTTCCACAATCTATCTTCAGCACAACCACCAACATTTTCTTACAACATTAAAGATCTGATAATGCTATTTTCTTCCCTTAAAGTGTTCCTTGACACCCCTTAGGATCAAGTCCAAACTCCCTGGCATACATGGCTGGCTTTTCACAACTTGACCCCAACCTGCCAGTCCAACCACTCACTCCCAGCTCACTTTTCTATGTTCATGCTCTACTTCTCTTCCCACATTCTTCCTATAATGCCCTATCCCGAGGAAATTCCTAGTTACCCTCCAAAATCCAGCTAAAATGCCACCTCCTATACGGATCATTCCTCAATTCCCGTAGGAAGGATTAGCTGTTCCCTTCTCGTTGGTAGCACTGCATATTATAAATGTTTGTCACACTGTTTTAAGAGTCTTTACCCCCACCCCAGAGTATAAGCTTCTAAAGGCAGGGACTGGGACTTGACTCCACTCGTTTGTTTTTCACTAATTACAATTTAGATGAACAAGACACGAGAAGACTTCTTTCTCCCTATCCAAAAGTGAATATTCAAAGAATTTACTAAAATTCATTTAAAATGTTTGTAATGTCTAATGCTCTTTAAATTACTAAAAATAAACAGAAATATACAATCTAGGGAATGCCTTTCAACTTTAATTCAATGCAAAGATCACAGAAAACCTCATATAACTTCCATATTAGCTGATCCAAGTCCATAAATATTTATTTATTCTATAAACATTTGTTGGGCACCTGTTACATGCCAGATGGACTAAAGGTACCAGCTCCTCAAGTATAGTTGAACTATGACCACAAAGAATTAAAGCATCTATGCAAAGAGAGCAAATTTAATTAATTGATCTGGAAACTTTACCTTTGCTAACACAAAGCACCCAATCACCAGATGAATTAGGAGATATCTGAATAATTAAATTTTTCAGCTCCAGTATATTTGGAGTGTTTCCCATGATGCATTATAGTCAAAAGCTATGGGGGGCCGGCCCCGTGGCTTAGCGGTTAAGTGCGCGCGCTCCACTCCTGGGGGCCCAGGTTCGGATCCCGGGCGCGCACAGACGCACCGCTTCTCTGGCCACGTTGAGGCCGCGTCCCACATACAGCAACTAGAAGGTTGTGCAGCTGTGACATACAACTATCTACTGGGGCTTTGGGGGGAAAAATAAATAAATAAAATCTTAAAAAAAAAGCTATGGTGCTCTCCCAAGAAATGTATAATACAACAACAAAATGAATAGCAGTGTGATGTGATAGAAAAAGCACTGGACTGGGAATTAGGACTATTAGTAACTAGCTGTGTGATCTTGGGGAAATAAGTTAATCTGTCATCTTGGCTTCAACTTCATCTTTGGTAAAAATGAAGTAGTTGAACTAGAATCTCTAGATCACGAGTCTTTAATTGCTATATGTAGAATAACCATTATGTGTATCAAGAACCAAACCAGCCCTACCGGTGTCTGCTTAGCAACTGGAGTCAGGAGGATCAGAAGAGAAAGACTGGATAAAGGGATTTCCAAGTTGAAGGTCTAGCTTTGGAGAAACCTGTTAACTACAGAATGTGAAGCATGATAAGTGTGTTATATGAACAGTAAAGCCCATGCTTGAAGATTTTTGTTTGATATTTTTTCATGTAATTCAAGAGGAATTCAGAGTAATGTTGACCACTAAGAAACGAAATAATATGATTAAAAGGAGATTTAAAGAAGGGAATTCTCAGTGCTCCACTAAGGGACCTCGAAGGTGAGGGAGAGGAGCACAGGCTCTCTGGGGGCCACTGACCCAATCACAGCACAGCGTTTCCATCTACTATATTTGCCATCACTCCCCTCTATAAAGAATCACGGATGTTGGCAATGCTCTATTTCTTGACTTTGCTGACTATTACAGAATGTTTGCTTCATATTTATTTGATTCCTTGTAAGTTTTATGTATCTTTCCACGCATTTCAAATTTTAAAAAAAATTCTTTTCAGTGGTACAAAACACTCTGAATAATGCTCCCCAAAATTTAAAATTGAGAAGACATGTCTGAGTAGCAATTTGATTCTGGTGAATTAAAAAAATAAATAAAAATGTGTTTTCTCATGGATTAAATTTATACAGTAGGCAGGAAAAAAGAATCCTTTGAAAGGCAAATACCTTGTGTGCTTCCTGCCAATAAGGACATAATACTTCCTCATTGTGATTAATGAAAAATAACACACACTCTTAAAGTTCTGTAGACATAAAAAGAAAGAAACACTCAAATGAGTCACCTATTTCCACATTCAGGGCTGAGAAGCTATATATATCTCTTCGGCCTCTGGCAGAAAATGCCAAACCAACCATAGGTTCAAGAACAATCATCTCCGGTCAGCAGCCATGCAGCTGGCCATGCTGTGCACAGTGTGTCTGCTGCCCAGCAGCCTGGCCCTGCCGCTTCCCCGGGAGGCAGGAGGCATGAGCGAGCCGCAGTGGAAACAGGCTCAGGTATGTCACTGGCCCACTCACCCGGGGCTCCACAGTCTCCCCAACAGCATTAGGAAGTGTGTTTTTCAATTTGGGTAATTTTTCTGATTATAAAGGCAATATATGTTTTAATCAAATAGCTATTAAGGGCAGTCTTTAGAGCCTGCCCAAACTGGATTCAAGTTCCAACTCCTCCACTCACTATATAGATGAACACAGCAATGTTATTAAACTTCTCTGAGCCTCAGTTTTCTAATTTGGAAGTTGGAGATTATAATGGTGTCAACCAAATGGGGGTGCTGTGAAGCACTTAGCAAAGTACCTGAAACATTGCTCATACTCAATGAATTGAAGTTATTGTTATTTATTGTAACCCGTGATTCTTTGCATAAAGAGCAGAGCGTTGCCTCTTAAGATGAGGACTAATTGTAATGGAGAGACTTGAAATCAGAAAAGCAGGAGAGAAGTTACAGCCCTGCCACTTATAAGCTGGTGAAGATGGGCAAGGCACGAACTTCTGACTGTTTTCTCCTATGTCCAGTGAAAGTAATTATACTACATTTTATATCTCACAGGATTATTCTAGTGAATAAATAAAATGATAACAATACCAGCTATCACATATATAACAATTACAGATTATAAAGTACTTCATATACATGATGTCATTGAATCCTTAGCACTTCTCCTGAGAAAAAAAAGAAACCAAAATTAGTTTGAGTCACATACTTGTTAATGGTAGAGATATGAGTCAAGGACAAGTTTTTCTGGTTCAAAAATCATGTTCTTCCAATATACTACTTAATAAGCAGCCCGATAAGTGTAAATAATTATTTGATAAAAGAATGAAATGTTTACTCCTATCGTTTATACATTTAAGCTGTAAGCATAAGAAAAGCTGAGTTTTATTTCACATAAACTTTGACTTTTAAAAAGTCCCAGTAGTATGTTAGACTGAACCATATAAAATTACTGATACTTGACTGTTTTTTACCTCCAAAACAGCAATTCATATGGTTCTACCTAATGGATTCTCCAGAAGGAGTACACTTGCAAGAGGATTGAGTCCCTTTATTTAGTGTGCAGGTTGCCAATAAACTAGAGGGAGATTAGCTAGGTTTAACCGAAGGCAGGAAAATTTCATCTCAAGGCTGCAGAGAGATTTCTTCCAAAGGGTGTGTTTGTAAAGCATGTAGCTCTGTAAAGGATAAAATGGGCTATTTGTTTTTACATAAGAGATTAATTCCTAATTGTCATGGATGAACAATAAGTAGTTGTTGTATTGAATGAAACACAATCACGGGTAACAGGAAGAAAGAGTACAATGTTACGAAGGTTATTTACATAACAAGCTCATACTCCTGAGAGGTTCTGAGACAAGTAACCGTTACCACCTACTCCAAATTAGACTGCAAAGGAGCAAGCCACTGTTTAAATCATTTCCACAATACCATTATGCATTGTATAGCCGTATACATTTTTCTAATGAAATGGACTTTGGAATCAGAACATGAATTCAAATCCCGACTCCTTCAGTTACTCATGGGGTGACCTTACGCAAATTATTTCACTTCTCTGAGCCATGATTCTTCATACGTAAAACAGGAATAACAATGTTGTACCTACTTCACAGGATGGTTATGAGGTTTAAATGAGACAAGCTCCCAGTATGGTCCTTGCCACTAGAAAGTGCTTAATAAAAGTTCTTGTGAGGTTGCTGCTGCTGCTGTTGTTATTTCACTCACTTTTTATTTTTTCCTATTTAGACTGCTGGACTGCCATCCTCATATCCAGACAGCAGGGTCATTTAAGAAATTCCCAGGGACCCAGTTGTGCATGAAATACACCCGGGGGGGCCCGCCTTATCCCGCAGCCTTGCAAAGTGGGTTTTACTAGAGATTTAACAGTGGAAAGAGCACAGAGTTGGCAGTCAGGAAACTCAGGGCCAGTTCTGCTACTAATTTAATATGTGACCCTGAGAAAATCATTTAGTTGCTATGAGCTTTGATTTCTTCACCTGGAGAATATGCACATTAAACTAAATAACTTTGTAATATCCTTTCCCAGAACTAAAATTTTAAGACCCTTTAACCTCAACTGAGACCAGATCTCCAGAGAGTCTTAGATAGGGCGAGGTTGCTTCAGATCTCTCCACATGGTCTCTGACGCCCAGGGAAGGTCTCAGTTGTGCCCCTTGAGGACACGCTGGGCACTCTTCCTGATTGGCTATCATAAACAAGTCTAAGTTTTATCAAGTGCAGAGTGGGTTTCTCCTCAAAACATTTAATGAGATAAAAGAGAAATGGAAGGACTCTTTTCTTTTGCTCATGAAATGGAATTACAATGCTTAATTATCAATATTAAATTTTCTCCTCATTAATGAACACTTGTTTTACTTGGTGACTAGGTATATATTCTGTATATATTCTTAAACCACTATTTGAGTCCACAGGAATCAGAGGTAAAGACGTGCAGACTCCTGAGGTAAAAGAAGACAGTAAACAAGAATTACAAATCAATTACTCTCTTTCCAATAGGACTATCTCAAGAGATTTTATCCAACTGATTCAAAAACAAGAGGTGCCAACAGTTTAGAAGCCAAACTCAAGGAGATGCAAAAATTTTTTCGCCTGCCTGTAACTGGAATGTTAACTTCCCACACCATGGAAATAATGCAGAAACCCAGATGTGGAGTGCCAGATGTTGCAGAATACTCACCATTGGCAAATAGAGCAAAATGGACTTCCAATGTCGTCACCTATAGGTTAGTTTTGCTTTGGCTCATTTTGGTAAAAACAATAAAGGCCTTTTCCTAAGAGGTCAAACATTGCTTTCTTGTTTGCTTACCAGGGTCGTGTCACATACTCAAGACTTGCCACTTGTCGTAGTGAATCAATTACTGGCAAAGGTCCTCAAAATGTGGAGCGACGAGATCCCACTGACCTTCAAGAACGTCAGCTGGGGAACTGCTGATATCATGATTCTCTTTGGAAGACGATGTAAGGAAGATTCCCGTAGGCTTATTCTGTGTGTTGTTTTGCTTGTTGATTATATCTGTGTCCTCCTCTTTTGAGGATTTAATATCTTTAATGACATATATATATATATAGCAATGTTACTACATTTTTTCTAGTCCATTAATTTAGAACTACTTTTTATAGCAGAGGATGGCAAACAATGGCCCGTGATCCAAATCCAGACCACCATCTGTTTTTGTAAATTAATATTTATTAGGACACAGCCATGGTCCTTCATTTACCTATTGTCTATGACTGCTTTGGGGCTACAATGGTAGAGTTTAGTAATTATGACAGAGACCATCAAGCCCACAAATTCTAAATTACATATTATATGTCCCTTTACAGAAAAGGTTTGCCAACCCCTGGTTTGTAGCATGAATCATGGTATATATTTATGAGACAGTTTAAACTATATCTAGCTAATAACAATATTAAACCAAGAGAAGTGGTTAGAAATTCCAGAAGCCTTAAGTGGTCTCCAGAAGCAGGACTGCCCCTACGGCCTGCTGCCAACACCCTTCATGTAGTAAGAAAGTAGAAAATAGAGAACTTTCATATTAAAGGGCTTAAAAAGATGTAACCCATATATATGAACTGCTATTAATTGCTAGTGTTTCATGGTGCAAATTTAGAGAAAAATATTGCTCTTTTTGGTCTAATGTTGAGCTGCCTAGGTGCTGTGAATTTAGCTGAAATTTGAACTTCAGCCACCATATTGACAACATCAAAGAAAATGTTACAGAAAGTACTGATCATGGCACTCCATGCTTTTTAAGAACTGGAAAAACTAGATATGGCCTGATACCAGTTTGAAAATAAATAGCTCTGCATCACAAATAAAAGCACTCTCAAAATCCATTTTAAGACACCTTGAGCGTGGTTCTCCAAGAGACTGTCTACTATACTCACAAATAGTAAGCTAGGTTTTTAAGAAAAACTATACCAAATGGTACAAAAGTTACTTGCTGAATGCAATATTCACACTCGTTCTCCATCCTGCCACCATCCAGCCAAGCAAAATAATCAAATTTAACACTTAGATGCCACCATAAGTTAGACGTGAAAGTAGTTCAAGTCCCACATCCCATAAAGTAAGCTTTCGATGTATGGTGGTTATCAGTGAGGAGTAGTGGTTCTGTGAAAGAAAAAGTGCCTGTGACAAACACCCAAACCACCCTGTGTATGCAGCTGGCTTATAACAACAAATGCTGACTGTTTAGACTGGACTGATCTTTCTAGCCTCAATACTCACATAAACTAAAGGATAGAATGACAAGATAAATTCAGTAACTAAGGACAATCACTCTATTTTCTTTCAGCTCATGGGGATGCCTTCCCATTTGACGGACCAGGAAACATACTGGCTCATGCCTTTTTACCTGGTCGAGGCTTTGGAGGAGATGCTCACTTTGATGACGATGAACACTGGAGTTATGGTAGCAGGAGAGGTATAGCATCCCGTATCTCTTCTACTACACATCCTTTTTAAAATCCTGAACTTCTTATAACAAACTTAATTTGATAATTGTTTTAATTAATAATAATTATTGAGCCCTTGCTTTTAACTGTTAGCCGCTGTACTATGTGCTTTAAATGCATTATTTCATTCAATATGCTCATAATGCTACATACACAGAAGACGGAAGTTCAGGCTATGGAGTCAAGCAGTGTTGAGTTCAATTTGTCGTACCTCTACCAAGTACTTGCTATGTGTCTTTGGGCAAGTTATTTAACTTCTCTGAGCCTCGATTTTCTCATCTATGAAATAGAACTATAAATAATTACCACCTCACAGGATTGTTGTTTGAATTAAATGAGATAACTCTTACATAGTGCTTAGCACAGTGCTTGGAATATGTTAATGATTCAGTAAATTATAGCTCTTTCTTTATATTTCCCCAAAATAAGTTTTTAATTGGAGGAGAAACAGCAGTAGCAACTATGATATTTAAGAATTATATACAATTCTGAGATTATTGACAAGAACCCACATCATAACCCAGCCCATCATATTCATCACCTTACAAAGTAGATTATAGACATCTCACATCTTGCATACCTGTTTCATTCTCCTTTCTTCACACTCAAGGTAGGCTAAAAGCAGCTTCTTCAATCTTATCACCACAACTGGAACTCTGGCCACTCAAACTCATAGGCTCACACCTTCCCCATTATGTGCAAAGCCTTTCTGTGAGTCTGAGAAAGAGAAAAGCATGTATGTAAGACAATTTAAAAAATCAGAAGCAAAACCAAGCATTGCCTGGAGATTCTGCCTTTCAGTCTTGCTTTCTCAAAGCCAGCTTTCTCTCTCCTGCTATTCAAAGTCATTCTCACTTATTGAATAACCATTATTTTCCAGATATTGGGAAACTCTAATTATTATGACAAATCTACAAGGTAGGAATTATTATTTCTGCTTAACACATGAAGAACTAAGACTCAGCAATATCAATTTGTCCAGAGTTACTCAGCTAGTAAGAAGCAGAGCTGGGTTTCAAACCCAGGTCTTAATGCTTCTAAAGCCCTCACTTTCCACTACAAAACACTGCTGTCTGAGTGGTTATATAAGAAGCAAATAGGCAGGAAAACATTACATTTTTTAAAAACAATAAAAGTGGTGACGAGGTGCCGGCCCCACGGCTTAGCGGTTGGGTGCGCGCGCTCCACTACTGGAGGCCGGGGTTCGGATCCCGGGCACGCAGCGACGCACTGCTTCTCTGGCCATGCTGAGGTGGTGTCCCCCATAGAGCAACTAGAAGGATGTGCAACTATGACATATAACTATCTACTGGGGGCTTGGGGAGAAAAAGGGGAAAAAAGGAGGAAGATGGATTAGCATGGATGTTAGCTCAGGGCTGAGCTTCCTCACAAAATAAATAAACAAATAATAAAATAAAAGTGGTGATGAGATTAAAGCACTACTATTCTGATTCTCTTTCTAAACCCTCCCGCCTTGTGAAGGCCTAGAAACAAATAAGTAAACTATGGATGATTTGAAGAGTTAGGCATTTTTATAGTTATTTTATTTTTTATTAATTTATATTATATATAATATTTTATTTTACTTTATTTTATATAGAGTTACTTTTATAGTTACTGTATGTCACTCTTTGATTGTAGGAGTTAACTTGCTTTCCGTTGCAACTCACGAAATTGGCCATTCTTTGGGTCTGCTACATTCGTCTGATCCTAATGCTGTGATGAATCCAACCTATAGAGATGTAGATCCCAAGAATTTCAGACTTTCACAGGATGATATCAATGAAATTCAGAAATTATATGGTAATATTCATGATTTTAAATAAGGGGGATTTCACATTGTTTCCTTGGGGTAGGCTTGAACAAGAAAAGATGGGAAATGAGTATTTACTTGGAAAAACACACTGGAACTTATATCTAAAAGCCTATTGAGGAGAGAAATTTGAGACCTTAGATACTAGAAATTTAACCAGGCTATTTTATGCTATGAGTATATTGATTCTAGGTTTTCAGTAATACAGTATCATCATTTGGTGAAATCATGAAAATGACTGACACTATCGAGGTTTTTTTTTTTTTTCAAGCTGCCACTCACTATTCTTTCTTGCTCAATTCAAATACTTTAGAAGAGTCTCCTCCGGTAGGAACGGACTGAGGAACATAACATCTTCCTCCTTAGCTGCCCACTCCCAAGGATTCGGCCCTAGGTGATTAAAAGTGACCCAATTTCCCCTGCTTGCATGTATGTGTAGGGAAAGGGGGTAACCATGGATGGTGATGCTTATACTTGCTGGTCATGACACTTATGAATATCCCATGTCTCAATCTATACTTTTTTGTTATAATCAAGTTCCAAATTCAATTTAAAAGAATAAGCTGATTTGTATTTGCTTGATCAAGTCAGTCAGAAATAGTGTGAGAAAAGAATCAAAGGAAAAGGATAAAAAGCTATATCTCTAGATAAAGATGAGAATAGTAAGATTCAAACAAGATAAATGAATGGTCCAAGGTTGTGTGGCTGCCAAGGGTTTGGACAATGACTCCAAGCCAAGGCTGTGTGATCTCATATTCTTTCTACTGCATATCTCTGCCTATCACTACTAAGTAACCTTTGCAAGCAATTTGGAAAGGAGAATACAGAATGGTTTCTTTAAGTCCACAGATATAATTAAACTTTTCCAGAAAAATATCAGGATGATAAGAATACACTGTAAAAAGATCACCTAAGAGTCTTTGAATGATCAGAAGAGCAATGAAAGTGCTTCCACTTAATAGAGCAATGTCCTTAGGGGAAAGTTATTCCTATAGGATAACAGATTTAAGCTATCAGTTGAACCTAGAGTTTACTATCAACGAGCATTTCCAAAATTGTATTCCCAGAATGCTAGTCCTATAAGACAATTCCCAAAAAAGGTTGCTATGGTGAAATATGTTCAAAAAACACTAAGTACTGTATTTCAGGTGCACAGGATATGAAGAGTACCTAACAAACTCTTGTTTAATTGAGTGCTTCCTAAATTATAATCCTTTTAATAGAACACCCATGGAGCCTTCACAGAATAACATTTTGGAGAACACATTTTGGAAAATGCCATATAACTGTACCTTAAAGTTCTTACTCAAAGAGCTGCTGCTGTCAAAAAGCTCACAAAACACTGACAATTGTTGGTAAGTTATCACCAACAAAACAGAAAATAGTATCACCCCTCATGGAAGACTATGGAATTCATGGAATACTCTATGGTATGTATAACTATCTTAGGACCTCAAGAAAATTAGACAGGGACTAAAAGAGATTCTGAGGCAGACTGATCAGATTTAACATGAAGAATACAGACTGTGCATTAAATCCTTAAGTATAGACAATGAGGTGCCCCTTGTCAAAGATGGAAAGAAGTAACTTCTGCTACAAACGAAAGTAAGATTTAATTATATAGGTTTTAAATTTAGGGAGTTCGCTAGTCCAAGAAGTGATATGAACAGAAAATATAAATTCAAAAGAATGTGATTAAACTCATGAGTGTAAAATTCCCAATGTTCTTTTCAGAATGATAAAAGTAGTAGCTAGAATGCACCAAGTATTTACAGTGTACCAAGTGCGTATGTATTAACGCATATGCGTTAATCCAACAATCCAATGAGTTGTTATTATCCTCATTTTGCAGATTGGTAATCTAACATTAAGAAGGGCTAAGGAGTGGGGCCAGCCCAGTGGCCTAGTGGTTAAGTTCAGCATGCTCTGCTTTGGCAGCCTGGGTTTGGTTCCTGGGTGCAGACCAACGCCACCTTAAGCCATGCTGTGGCAGCAACCCACATACAAAATAGAGCAAGATTGGCCACAGATGTTAGCTCAGGGCGAATCTTCCTCAAGAAAAAAGGGGATGATTGGTGACAGATGTTAGCTCAGGGCAAATTTTCCTCAGCAAAAAAAGAAAAAGAAAGGCTAAGGAGTAACTTACCCAAGATCACACAGCTGGTAAAATGGCAGAGACAGGATGCAAAGATATCCATCCCCCAAAGCCTACACTCTATACAATACTGCCTTCTTAGCCTTTGGAACCCGTTCTTCAGAACCTCTGTCTAAAATGTTCTGTTTATGCACAAATATTCAGAATGTTCTTATTTTCTCTCTTAACAGGAAAGAGAAATAATTCAAGAACGAATTAGAAACTTCAGGGAGAACACACATTCAATCACGGGATCCTATATCATTCTTCCCCAACCAGAATTAATGAACACTGTTCCTGCACTCCATTTAGCCCTTACTTCCTCTTTCCTTGAATTGAGCTTGGTTTTTACATGTATCTCTCTCCCTCTGGGGATAAGGTCTTTTACAACATAATTGTGTCTTTCTCATCTGTGAAGCACCTCAAGCAATTTGAACTTAGCAGATGTCAATGAATGTTAAATACACAGATAAATTAAAAAAATGTCCATAGTAAAATGATTTATATTTGGGAGCACTGTTTCTGTGTCAAGAGAAGGCATGCTATACAATGAAATCAAAGGCTAAGACCAGAAAAAGAAAACTCCACCACATTATTTTGAATCTTCAGCTGCACCTCACTCTGTCACCGGGTTGGTAATGTGGGAACTCCAACCATTTATTGTTCATTAGTGCAGCCCAAAGGTACACTAAGTTCCCCTTAGCCTTTTGGCCCAATCTCTCACTCTGAGTATTCTGGAAAGTCCAATTCTTCCCACAAAATGTGTGTGAATTCCCAAGGATTCACATTCTCATAGTCACTTTGGCTCCAAGTTTCTACCCCTGACCTCTTGATTTCACTGTGTCTCTCCTGCCACAGCAGCTCTGTGTTCCCTTTCCTCTTCCCCATGCCAACCAAGCTATTGCTCTCACCCTCTTCTCTTTAACTTTCTCCAAACCAGTCCTACAAGGTTTTTGGGAGACTCTTGACATTGCTGAAGATTTGTATCAACAGTGAGATTTTGTATTGCATGAGGACAATGAAATTAAAATCAGATATCCCCGTTCTTCAAATCCTTTACCAATAATAGCATCAGGAATTTCTCACTGCCCACCTACCTCTGCAGGATCCAACCTCCTAACACATTTCTCCACGATCCTCAAATCTCTATACCCCGTTCCTTCTGACTTCCCTCACAAACTCATTTTCCTGAAGTCCTCACAGCTCCAGCTCTCCTTTCCATGAACAGAGACTCACTAATGTGTTTCTCTGGGAGAAGCACTCCATGCAGGCTAAACCCCTCAGCAGGACACAGAACTGGCAAAGGCTTTTCCATTTCAGCCTTTCTTACTCCTCTACACTCTCCACACCATGCATGGTTTTCTCTATAAATAGAAGGATGAAGAATTGGAATTTACTTTCTTACTGATATCAATTATGCCACAAACACACACACACACACACCCTAAAAAGATGCATTTATTTTTTAACATTTCATGTAAGGATTTTTTTCACTCAAAACAGATCAATATCCCAAAACTCAGAAATACCACCATTGAGGGAATTATGCTAAGTGAAATAAGTCAGAGGGAGAAAGTCAAATACCATATGATCTCACTCGTAAATAGAAGATAAAAACAACAACAAACAAGCACATAGAGACAGAGATTGGATTGGTGGTTACTAGAGAGGGCGAGGGGAGGGAGGAGGGTGAAAAGGATGGTAAGGCACATGTGTGTGGTGATGGATTGTAATTAGTCTCTGGGTGGTGACCATAATGTAATCTACACAGAAATCAAAATATAATGATGTATGCCTGAAATTTATATAATGTTATAAACCAATGTTACCACAATAAAAATAAATAAAATCAGTAAATACAAAAAAAAAAGAAATACTACCAAAGCCATTAGGAAGCCATTCTAGAGACAGATTACACGACGGGGAGAATCTATAATCTAGGCAAAATGTGGCATATATATGAATAGGAGTTCAAAGACCCTTTTGAAATGTAAGGGAATAAGTCTATAACACCAGAATGAAAAGAAAGTTAGAAGGTACTGAATTCAAGTTCCTCATTTTGTAGATGACAAAATAGATGAAAAGAGGTTAAATTATTTCCGTAAGAATCATATAAGCAAATGTAGACGCGATTAAAGCATATTTTCGTTTGTTTGCCTGTTTGCATTTTGGTTTGGGCAGCAGCAGAAGGCAGTATCTATCTTGCAGCTGAAGTGGATATCACTTGTTTCTCCCTGCTCAGCATCCTTTCATCCTACTTTTGGGGACAGGGACTGCCTCTCCCGTTTGAATACAGTCTTATTGGGACATCACTTAGGATGCCACACACTGCCAGGGCTGAGAGGGGAGTATAGGACCCAAGTTTGGCCTATCAGACACACCTTTGAAAACACTGGAGGCTAATTCATTCTGGAAGTGGGTTCTGGAGACACTACCTGTTCATTCCTGCACCCAAATAGATCCCTGAAGCGGCTCTGGGTCCTGTCTTACAAACAGCTTAGGTGCAGGGATTCTCTTCCATACTTTGCAACTGACTGCATTGCCTTCCAATAAATTTTGTTGATTGCTTAAGTTAGCCAGAGTCTGTTTGTGTCTGTTATTTGCAAATCCCTGACATAGTACCTTGATCGGCTCTCCTATGGTATCTGACATATGGACTCATAACTGTATCTTATCCCAACGCCAATCTTAACAGTAAAGTTAAGCTCTAACTGAACATAGAAGTTAAATTTTCTTATTCCTATCAAAATAGCATAACGCTGACTTGTAAATAGAGATTTTCCCTCGAAAATAAGGACCCATGTTCTTTTTTTTTTTTTTAAAGATTTTATTTATTTATTTTTCCCCCCAAAGCCCCAGTAGATAGTTGTGTGTCACAGCTGCACATCCTTCTAGTTGCTGTATGTGGGACGCGGCCTCAGCATGGCCAGAGAAGCAGCGCGTCGGTGCGAGCCCGGGATCCGAACCCGGGTCGCCAGCAGTGGAGCGCGCGCACTCAACCACCAAGCCACGGGGCCGGCCCACCCATGTTCTTTTTTTTAATTGCGGTAAATTACACATAAAATTTACAGTCTTAACTATTTTTAAATGTACATTGCAGTATTGTTAAGTATAGCCACATTGTTGTGCAAGAGTAAAGTTCTTAATCTCAGCACTATTGGCATGTTCAACTGGATAATTCTTTATTAGAGGCTGTCCTGTACATTGCTGGATGCTAAGCAGTATCCCTCACATCCCCCCACTAGATGCCAGTAGAACATCATCATTCATGGCAACCAAAGATGTCTTCAGACATTGCCAGATGACCTAGAAAGGGCAAAATAGCTCCCAATTGAGAACCACTGAGCTAAAGAAAATAAATTCTTATTTCATTGCATTATACTCAACGTCCCTTACACCTTTTTTTCACCCAGGACCCTGCTATCCTCTAATCCTCTACCATCCCAAGGGAAAGGAAAGGATTATGTGGCATTGCCTGTTTTTGACCCCCTCATCTGAGGAAAGGATTGTCATATTTTAAGGAATAAAACCACTTGTATGCCAAAGCCAAGATACTGTGTGTTTATAGAAGTTTTAAAAACTTGCTTGTATTTTGTAAATTACTTTTATTGTTATCTTTTCTAATTTTAAAGTCAAACTCCAGTTTATGGAAGAGGTCTGGGGTCATGAATTTGTCTTCATTCCCCTCTGAGATGCCATTTAAATGGTAGTAAGGGAATAAACAGAAAAGGGGGAGGTCTGTCAATGGGTAAGGGATTTCAATAAATTTCTGAAGACCTAATACAGCTGATAGATGAAACATATCAGACACAGCCTGGAATATGCGAAGAGTGCTCAAGTGGAAATGAGAGTTAAATTGTCCAACTCCAGAGAGGCTCTGAAATCCCATTTGGAAGGTTTGATGAAGGTAAAGGTGAAAAATAAAATCAGGGCATTAATGGAAGATCTGTATATAGGATAATTGACCCTGACCTCATTCCTATAAGAAAAATGCCAGGGAGTCAGATGTTTACTTCTAGAAAACATATCAAAGCGTTCTTTGCTAAATAAATTTTAAAAGACTTTGAGAGAGAACAGGACATTTAAAGCAGGTGCTGTGCCTCTAAACAAAATATTCATATTTTGGCTTTCAGGTTAAAGGTAGAGAAGACCATCCATCTGCTCATCCTAAATTAAATGTACCAGTGAACAAGACCCACCCATGTACACCAAGCCTCTAGTCAGCTTTCCTATTGCCCAACTATTAAAATTAAATTGAGGAACCAAATACGAGATATTTGAGGAAAATTTGCAGGACCAAAGGAATCCATCCCAGAAGAAATAGAGATAATTCAAAGAACAGAAGAGATTTAAGGGAAAAAATAGAACATTCTCAGGGAAATTTGAGAAGATATTACATTTATAAACAACAACAACAAGATGTCATAAAAAATGAACAGAGAACAAGCTAGAACTCTTGGAAATTGAAAATGTAATTGCCAAAATAGAAATAAAGAGTTGGAAGAGAGAGTAAAGAAAACTACCCAGAACAAAGAGTTGAAAGACAAAAAATTAGGAAATATGAAAGAAAAAAAGATCAATTCAAGAGGTCCAGCACCCAACTCTGGTGGCTTTGGGATGTGTCAACTTGGCTAAGTTAAACTTGATTTCCCAGAAGTCCCTTCTCTATATGTTACTTAGGGCTGGTCACAAAAGAAATCTGCATGAAATGTGGAAGGTGGAAGTAAAGCAAGAGCTAACTTTGTTCTCCCAAGGTTGACGTAGGTCTGCTGCTGTTGCAGCTCATGCACAACTTCAGAGATCTGCTTATTCACCTTTTAAGTATAAAACACTACAAGTCTCACAGCTCCACCATGATCTTTCCCTTCAACTTCAAACCTTGGGCCAGGTGTGAGTATGGCTCTGTGACAAGAATACCAGTTTCTCCTGCAGGGCATTCACGGCTGCAAGGTTAGAGACTTAGCAACAGGGAGAGGCCATCACAAGTTCCAATAAGAGACAGACAGAGTCTCCAGCCTGTTCCTAACGGTTCCCAGTTGTCCTGCCCTCCCCACTTCACACCTATCTTTTAACTCCTACTACCTGTCCTGTAACTTTAAGGTCAGAGCCATATGCAGAAGCAGCAGCTCAACTAAGATTGTTTTACCAGCTCCCACAACTGTGTAAGGTCAAATCTTTATAATTTTAAGTCCCTTTTTAATTTAATTCTTAGTGATTCTGCTTCTGTGACTGAACTCTGTCTGATACACCAGCCAATAGGATTTCCAAATATATGTAATAGATTAAAAAAAGAAAATCATCAAAGAAATAACTGAATATTTTCCAGTACTGAGAAGGGAGAACTGTGTGGGGAGACACAAACCTTCAAACCGAAAGAGCCCACATCATGTTAAAATTTCAGAACAACAAGGATAAAGAGATCTTAATAAAACTCCAAGATTTAATAAAAAAATAGGACACCAACAAAAGAACTAGAATTAAACTGATATCAGATTTCTTATCAGAAAAATGCATCTAAATTAGAGTGCAGCAAAGTCTTCAAAGTTCTAAGGAGGAATTATTTTGATCTTAGAATTCTACACCCAGCCAAACCATCAGTACAGTGTTGTGTTCGGTTGAATTGTGTCCCCCAAAAAAGATATGTAGAAGTCTTAATTCCCACTACCAGTGAATGTGACTTTATTTGGAAATAGGGTCTTTGCAAATGTAATCAAGTTAAGATTAGGTCATACTGCATTAGAATGGGCCCTAAATCCAGTGACTATTGTCCTTATAAGCAGTCCATGTAAAGACACAAGTACACAAAGACACACAGGGAGAATGCAATGTGACAATGGAGGAAGAGATTGGAGTGATAGCACTAGAAGCCAAGGAGGGCTGGCAATAACACAAAGCTAGAAGAGAGGCACAGAACAGATTTTCCCTCAGATCCTCCAGGAATAACCAATGTTGCTCACACCTTGATTTCAGCCTTCTGGCCTCCAGAACTATAGGATAATAAATTATGTTGTTTTAAGCCACCCAACTTGTGGTACTTTGTTATGGCAGCCCTAGGAAATTGATACAAGTCTGAAGACAAAATAAACTCATTCTTGTACAATAGGAGTTCAGAAAGTCTACCACTCGTGCATTTTTTCTGAGGTAGCTAATTTAAGATGTATTGTAAGCACACAAGACAAAACTTAAGAAAGAGGAAGATGTGAAATATAGAAATGATAGAAAAGGAATCTCAGAATAATAGCTGAACACGAGGGCTAGAAAGTAACCAGTCCAAATTAGAACAGGAAATTGATGGGATACATAAAAGACAGACTTTA